CTCCCAGTTTCATTACATCCCATGTTCTACTACTACTGTGCTACTAGATTGCATCTTTCGAACTAGGAAACAGAGCACCCACATCACTTGACCTGGTTTTTAAAAAAAATATTTTATGATACCCTTGCAATTTATTTATAACTGAAGATTCTAAATGCATTTCAAGGTGGTATCTCTACTGAACTGTCATTTTTATTTTGGTGCACTGATGTCCACTTTACGTTACCAGGGTGTAGATCTACACTAGTGAATCTTTCTCTCCTGTACTTGTGCAAATGGACATAGCCACTGAGGCATGCTGGAATGTACTTTAGAGGGTAGTTACTTACAGTTGTGCTCACAACAAAAAGGTAGAAAGCCAAATACACCTACACCCAGCTGGTGATCACTGCCACTGGACTCTGATCACCTAAACAAGCAGTGTTGCCTTAACATTGCTTGGTAATAAAAATCTTTATGAGGGTCAGAGAGAAGTGGACCAGAACGCTGCGTCAAACAACCTTTTGTAGCTTTTGAGAAAAACTTAAAAAAAAAAAAAAAAAAAGAAACCATTTGCTAACCTAAATTTATCTGGTCACAAAGGCACTAAATAATCCCCATTAAAAAGGTGTTCAAGGCACCATACCCATTTAGAAAATCCCTGTTGATGGACATTTTTAGGTTTCGAAATATACCCTTAACTGGTCATTTTCAAGGTTAAAAATTGCCTGCTCAAGTTGGATTTTCCCAGCCAATTCTTACTCTTTACTCAAAAATATAGCTGATAGTAAAGCCAGCCATAGATGGATTGAAATTCAGATGGTTCATCAGAGACCAGACAAATTTTGATCTATCTGTGGGCAGGCTGGTTGTACTGAAGTTGATCCATTGACTGACTTCAGTAAACCAGCCTATTTTTTTTTTTGACAGTGATCATTGTATTGGTGGCTGGGAGGCATCCTGCTGGCAGAATACAAAAGCTCCGAAGGAGGGGTTCCCCCATCAACACTGTGTTGAGGGAATCGAGCGGTTTTCTTTCCTGCAGGAAAGTAAATTGCTTACTGTTTGGCCTGCTTAAGACCATGGCCAGGTTGCACAAATATTGTGACTCACTTCTCTGAACCTTAGTACATGCTGGTTCTTAGCAGACCCCCCAGGAAAGAGTCAAGCTATTCTGCTCCGACAAATGATTTGCCATCAGAAAGGGGGAAGCAGCAACCTACTGAATGGTTTTATTGTGTGCAGGAGCCGGCTGCCAGGCTATCACCGAGTCACTTACAACATAGTCCCTAGCCTCAAAGGCACACGTGGGTTTCCCTATAGTCCTCTTCATCATCCCTTTGTGAAAATATACAGACTGAGCCTGCTGGTGAATCAGCCAAAAAAACAAAACAAAAGCAAACAGGTGGTTACTTTGGCCACAGGTAAAGCACCGAACTTACACTGCACTCCAATAAAGCCCAGCGCCTATCCTTTGCAAACTTGACACCATAGGGCAGGTGTGAAAACAGACATTTTGTAATCGGTATTTATTACCTATCTAGCTTACTTACAAATGTACATGAACTTGAAGTGTTCAGGTTGATGTTCAAATATTGTTTGTGACCAATGCCGAAACTGAAGACATGGCTCTGTCTTCTCAGGTAACACATGTACAGAGCTGTGTCTACAGTCTCCTCAAGATTCATGTTGAACTTTTGGTGTCACAATACAAGGTACGATGGTGTTGATACAAAGTCCAGTATACCATAGCAACCAATTAAAATTGAGTTTTATTTAGTCAGATCTGTGAAAGATGAATTATGATTGGTTGCTGTGGTTTATGGTAGAATGCTTTGTGAAACAAAAGCCCATGTACAAGCATAATAGACGGAAAGAGGCAATATTCCCACGGTTATATTATCTAAGTTGTCAGAGGTGGAGTTACCCTTTAAGACCTATTCTCTACTTGTATTAAATGCAGCCATTTTGTGTCAATTTACCTTAAAGCTGGCCACACACACACTCACTACAATTTTGATTGTACAACTTCCTATAGTCTCTAAATATTTAGTGTATATGCCTACCTGACAATTTAAATTTAAAGTGTATCAATAGCCAAAACTTTCTTCTTCAGTTTTGGATGGAGTACAGAACAGTAGAACAGTTAGAACCCCTGTCAAGTTTGTATTGCTGTCTGTGTTTCTGCTGGAGAGATTCACCACTCTGTCCTGGTGATCATTGTGGCTGAGATAGAATGGGATTGGGAAAACAAACGTTTGCCAGAACAGGGGGAGATGGAAAATCTTCCAGTAGAGACACCAGTTCCAAGTTTTTTTTTTATTTTTTTCTTTCATTCTGTTGTGTCTCCAGGATAAGAAGAGAAGGTAACTCACCCCAATGGGGCACAGACAGCATAAAAAATAGACAACAGATATAAACTCTCTACGTAAAAATAAAATGGTTTTCTTATAAATACTGTGACAAGAAAGTGCCATGTCACAGTGTTTTTTAAGGGTTCAGGGTTCCAGGTTCCCATCCATTCAGAGTAAGGGGCTTCATTATGCTTGCTTTGAGCAGAGAACCCCGTCTTTGCAGTCTTTTCCAGAATTGATAAATCCTGGTATGGGTTCTGGTGGCCTGATGCTCTGTAGAGTATTGGGTGGGATGAAGCCTCTAACCCTGGGTCAACATTTTGATGTTGACTAGCAGCTACTGATTGTGAAGCTGTGCACAGGTCTCATAGTATGAAAGCAGACCAGTGTTCAGGGTTCCACCCAGCCATGGAGATTGTTGTGCTGCTAGGCAGCACTGGATGTATGTGTCTAGATACTGCCCTGCTGGGCATGTAAGACATGTGACCTGACCAGGCCAAAGCCTGAGATGAAAAGTTGTAATTTGTGTGGAGCTAGACCGAAGGTCAAAGTTCAAATTAATATCCAGGAGGCTGAAGGATTTATGTTGCATGGTTTATGATAATGATACTTCTGTAGGAACATGCTACCCCTTCTGTTAAACAACTTACACACTTTTTTGTTTGGATGCTGTGACCCACTGTCCAGAATATTTATTTTAAATACAAGGGGAAGCCCATAAATGTAAAGATGACAATAAAACTATTTCGGATTGCTCTGCCTTTAAGCTGAACTCTCACATGAGACCTTAATGGCTAGCCTAAAGAGCTTTTTGCACTATACCAGGGTTTCTCAACCAAGGTTCCATGGAAACCTAGGGTTCCTCCAGATGTTACTAATTTCTCACTGACACCAATTATCTTATCTTTTTAGCTATCTGTAAGGGAGTAATTCTTCCCAATGATTATACATGTAAGGAGAATTCTTCCCACTGACCATCATACTAATGTAGCATGATTTGTAGATAGTCATTTTTAGCAGGGGTTCCCTGAGACCGAAAAGTTATTTCAAGGGTTCCTCTATGTTGACAAGGTTGAGAAAGGCTGCACTATATAGCTGCTGGCTAATCTAAAGAGACTATATAGAATGTGCAATCAAAATGTAACGTGTGGCCATCTTCAGATATATAGATCGGATCCTGAAGATTGGTTGAGCTTAAATTCAAAATGGCTGCCTTGTCTGTGTACCAGCAATGCGTAAACTTCAAGAACTGCAATACAGAAATACATAATACACAGGCAGAACCTGTGTAAAATGAATTGCAATTCCCAACATGCTTTGTCAGGGTCTTACTGGGCATTGCTGTTAAACAGCTGTGGATACCCACAAGTTGCCCCGAGGCAGGTATGATCACTTTGTCTTTCAAAGCCATTTGAGGTCAATGTGTAATGAGCTCTTTGCCATATCAATCATGCTCTGCTGACAAGCAACCTTTTCAATGACACCAAAGCTGGCACACAATAAGCAAGATGCTTTTTACAGGAATGTTCTCTCATAGATGAAGTGCTTCTCTTTTCATACGTTTCCCTTTGTTCGATGGGCCTTTTTCCATTGCATGCTGGGAAATGGAGTACGCCCTATTAATCACCAAAGAATGGCATTACTTCCCAGGTACAATGGAATAAAGGAATTATACTGCTGTGACTGTGGCCTATTGTTAAAATCAGAATAACAATGTTTTATGTCTGTTCAAAGATTTTTTTTTTTCTTGCTGAACTTCATATCGTAACTGCTGTCGAATTCGAATACTATATCAAAGCATTATTTTCATATCCCAGAACCCCATGCTGTTTGAACTTGAACTTTTATTGTTAAAGGACTATGGGTTATCTGGTACAGATAATGATAATAAAAATCATAGTTTTGTTAAGTTTAAGGAAGCCCTGGTAATTTACTGAATGCTGCAAAAAGAGTGTTTGGGAAAAGGTATATGAAATAAGCAAAGTCTCCTGTCATTTCAACAAATGATTAAAAACAAGATTTGGGGGCGACAGCCCTGTCACATGCCCTGTCAAAGTCATGTGATTAAGTTGTTTTCTTATCACTGTTCTCCACATCATGCAGAGTCCTAAAGTCATGCGCAGTGGGGTGCAAACAATGCGATGTCCAGTGGAGAGAGGATAACACTATCTGCTCTCCTATAAATGGGGTCCTAAGTGTAAAATGCTGTATAGGGAAAGGTTGGAACTTCTATTGTTTTTTTTAGTTTTTATATTAGTATGAGGAAGATTTCCCCACACGCCCGTCCCAGGGACAGGTAGGAGCTACAGCAATAACTAGACACCCCAATGCCAAAATCCGCTCATATAAGCAAAATGGCATTGTTCTAATTAATCCCTAAACATACCCTGACACGTGACTCTACACTTAAAATGGTTAAAATGGTTGTCTTGCTGTCTAAAGGCACCAGAATAATCAGCTAGCCAGTGGCTAATATGATGAGCCTGTCACAATAGGGATCATTAAGAACAAAAAGACAAGCAAAAGAAAAAACAAAAACAAAAGAAAAGAAAATATATATATATATATAAGTAAAACTGATACATGACCGAAATAAAACTTTTTTTATTTTTCAAACTGTTCGTGCAACAAGGGTAGTACAAGGGCAATACGGACAGCGAGTGCGAGATAACCAGAACTTACCCCGCGCTTTAGACTTCTGAAGCAGTGGATTTTGGGTTTGGAGGTCATGAAGTCGTTGAAGCGATGGGAGAGGGGTTCCTTTTGCTGCTTGGGAGACTGGGGGCCGTTGGGAACAGCACAGGGTGAGGCAGAGGCAGGGGGAGGAGGAGGGGGCTGATGGGGGGACGTTAAGAGGGACATAAGCTATGTATAAGAGAAGGAGCAGTGATAGAATATAAACCAAATTAAAAGATACAAGGAGAAAAAAAACAAAAAACAAAACAAAACACAAAATCGAAATGAGGATTAAACAATATTTATTCTGAACCAATGGTAAAAACATAACAAAAACTTTAAAAAAAAAAAAGTGAAAGATGGAATCCATGAGTTGCGGCCATGGTTTGGAAAGAAAGAAGAAGCTTGAGAATGTTAGAAGACGAGTGCAAAACAGTTTAGAAATCCCTGATGAACCAATTAAGGGTGGAGGAAGCCATGCAAACTGCAAGCAGCATTCACCAGCTTTGTGTGAAACCAAGAGTGGGGAGAGAAGAGAGAGCCGCTCCCAGAAATCACCAAATGCAGAATGAAACCTCTACGTATGGATGTCTGATAGCACTAACCACAGCCGATTCCCAGTAATGGAGGGCATGCATTGATCGTTCTAATCTAAAAGTGAACACAGCTACACGTGGCAACTACCTATTTACGCAAGTAACAAAAACTCAACTGCACAAGGACAACGCTGTCAAAATGTACAAAAAATACATGCCCTATTGTGTTGTTAAACTGTATGAGTTAGAACACTGACACTAAGATGTAATATATATGGTAAAGGGTGTGTTGCATGTGCAAGTCTGCAGGACAAAGGTACAGACTTGCTTATAATCTTGGTGGACCGTCCTTGTTATAACTGCTTGCTGAACACCATGACGTTACCTAAAATCTTTGCAGATCTGTAGACCAGAAGGCAAGATGATTATGACACCCAGCATGCACTGTGATAAATAAGGAACCAAGATTGGGAAGAAATGTGAACAAGCAGAATGGTAATCCAGAGAGCTTCAATATGGTGATACATTACTGGGAGTAAACTGACAGCCAGAGTTAAATTCTTGTATACTTTTACTAAGCTTTTTAGAGCTCCCTGTAATTCCTAAACCCTGGGATGTTCATCAGTCTTCAGCTCCAAAAGTTTAGTTCTCTGGTGTCCCCCCAAGTTAAGTTTTCTGGTACTCCCTATAGGTCTGCGAGCCTTTCTAGGGACCAATAATTAGCTGTGGAAGAATGCACTGCAGAGATCCAGCATGAGAGCTGATTGCATAGCTGACTGCCGGTTTCCGAGGTTCAGGGAATGCTTTGAAAGATACTGAAAGTGTATGGAAACCCCAACAATGAACTTCTCTTATTTGCTCTCTTTTGGTCTGGTAAATATACCACTGAAAGCATTTTATTATATTTGTTCAATAAGTGCGAAACATTCCTTGAATTCCAGAAATCCAGTGAGCTGATAATTTTCTGTGCTGCACTGAAATATCTGGCAGTGTTAACCAGTCCTGCCCAATTCACCTCTGTGGACTACAGAAAACCTCCACAGTATGTTATGCAGGGGAGGTGCCTGCCAATAACACACTTCCTGCCCTAGGGTGACAACAGTGCTCCTCCACTGATTCCGTACAGGGGGTGGGGGTTGTCTCCCTATGACAAGAAGTGTTACTGGCAGGATCTTCAGGTGAAAACAAAGTAAAAACAACTGAAAAAATACATCTAATGCAAGGGTCTTCAAAATGTGTAAACAAAGGGCCAGTTTACTATCCTTCAGTCTTTAGGGGGGCTGGACTGTGGCCAGTGTGAGTAAAAAATGTTCCAGCATCAGTGGGCGCAAACACTGCCCCTTCATTGATTTTAACAGGTGCAATAGTGCCCCATTGTTGGTTTTAGCAGGATGACTAGTGCCCCATGGTAGGTATCAATGGGAGGAATAGGGCCCCATGGTAGGTATCAATGGGAGGAATAGGGCCCCATCATTGGTCTTGGCAAGAGGAATAGTGCCCTTGATGTTGTCAGTGGGAGCAATGGTGCCTCATCATTGGTGTCAGTTGGAGGAATAGTGTCCCGCTGGCCGCATGATGGCAAACAAAGGGCCACATCCCAGGCTGCAGTTTGGAGACCACTGATCTAACGCATTCACCTCCAATAAGGGCTGGTAAGCTGCTCTTGCATTTAGATACACTTCAGGGTGTATAAAAACACATCTAGATGCCTATATTTAACTCTTGCTGTCAGTTTACCTGCATTATATCCAGCATAGTTACACAATAACAGTCCATTTTGAAATATGTTAATTTGTCTGAAAAAAAAGTTATCAATATTCTCATACCTTTTGATCAAATACATTAGGGTTGATTTATCTAAAGAGAGAAGGCTACTGAATTAGTGAATGTTGGTTAAAAAAAAGGTGACTTTGTTCACTTTATATACCCAAATGTGTGAGGGAATTATAAAAAACAAACAAACACATGATTGGCTACTTAAAGTGAAAACAGGTTTACCTTATTTGCTATCTTGCACTCTCTAAAGTGAACATTCCCCTAATCCTTTAGTAAATCAACCCCATTATCTTTAGACTGAACTCTTTTAATACAGAAAGAAGGCCCTACAGTGTCTATTTTAGACCACTCTTGTTGTATAAAATATGTCTCATTCAGATTTATATAATAGATGATAGGACTTCAGGCAGAGAAATAATGGAGAGGATATTCAGCAAATTTTAGAAAAATGTCTACATCTGAAGAACTCTTAACAAGTTGTATGTAGGTGGGCTTTTTTAATAAAAACTCATTACTTCATATTTTACTCAATGTGTGCCAACGGTGAAGGAGCTGCCTGGCCTGCATGGTCTTTGCTGTGCTGTATCTGTTGATAAGGTGTGGCACCAGGGGTATGAATCAGAGCTTTGGCACTTACTTGGTTGCCTCCGATTCATACACCTGTCATCATAGACACTCACCCTTGTCATAGTGAATTGAGCACTGGAAGAACGGAAGTACAGGAACCAGGCAGTGCCACCAATACTGCTTGGTAGAGAACCTTTGTGAGAAAGCCTACACGTATTTCCTTTTAGCTTTGGAGAGTAAAGGAAAGTTTTGGAACTCTTGCAAGATACTTAGAGTTGCCTGTGTCCTCCACTAGGGAGATTTTCTCCCAGACCTTGGGACAACCAGGTGAAATAAACTGACAGAGCAATAAACCTGTTTAGGTAAAGGACTAACAACCTTGTCAGGTTTTTACTGCAGTTGGTGTCTTCCCATTTCTTTACTACCATCTGCCTCTCGTTCCTTGTTCTGGTGTCATAGAGAGAGGAGGTGAGGATAACTCTCCCGACAGGGATCACAGACACCAATAAAAACCCTGACAGAGGTTCTATTTCTTCCTCTCAATCCAAAACTAAAAAGAAACATAAAGCTTTGGCTGGGGTTGGGCTGTAATGTGTGTAACGTCATTGATAGTGGTAGTATGTAGCAAAAGGTAGGCAAATGAGGGAGATAGAAGGAAGACTGATATAGTGGGGGAATGTCTTAAAATAGACACTGAACGACCAGCTCTTTCTGGCGGTTTCTAAAGGAGTTTTTTTTCTAAAGAAAACTACTTGACAAGTAAATTATACCAGATAAGTATTGAAAACATACATTGTTTCTGACCAATGAATAACATATTTCAAAATGAATGGACCCCCTTTTTTTTAACAATATTAGGCAGTAATATATTCCACAGTTAAAGAAGGCCACTTGCAAACAGTAGACTTAGCCATTTTCTTACAGAATCAATAGCCAACTCATCAGAAACAAGGATTAGAGACAATACAAGGCAAAATGTGTCATCTGTACAAGGGGCATACACCTGGCCATAGACAGATTGAAATTTTGGCCGGTTCAGCAAGAACCAGACTAATTTTGATCCATTATAGCCAGGCTGATTGTGCTTAAGTCGATTTATTGATCTACTTCAGTGTAACCGGCCTGTTGGGTTCTTTTAGTTCGATCACTGCCGGCGGCTATTGCCGCAAGGAGTGTTCATTGTATTCTGACGGCTGAGAAACCTCCCGCTGTCAGAAAACAAAAGCTTAAAGCAATTTTCTTTCCTTCAACCCATGGTTGAAGGAAAGAAAATTGGTTAATGTATGGCTTGCCTTAGTCTCTTCTAGCCATCTGATAAAGTGGGCTACTGTGACAATTGTCTGACTGAGAAAATGGCTATTATCTGACCTATGAGATCAACAGTAAGTGTGAAAGCAATAACCCTTCACCCCTGAGCAAAATTGCCAAGCCAGCTAACCAAAAACCATTGTCTGGTTAGGTTCTGTGGGTTGCTGTGCAGACATTTTGCCTATATATACTGGATAGAGATATTTAAGGGGTAATAGTCAAACAGTTACGTTTTTAGCAAGAAGTTCCTGAGCTCCTGCCCTCTCTGTGATTCAATCCACCCGTCTCTGTCACTATGGTGTCCTGTAGTGATACAGAGGCCAGCAGATTGAACCACCTTTCACAGAAGGGGACCAGAGGCTCGAGAGAGCCAAAAGTTCTAGAAGCAGAGGATTGTTCAGCCAGCGTATCTTGTCAAGACACTGATAGCATGGGTGCCAGGAGGGGTAAATACAAAGCCTTTTCTTGACAGGAAGTGCTTTTAACAAACTTTAACTAGACAGTCACTTTAAAGAGAATCTAGTGTTCTTTTAAATACATTTTTTTTATTAATAAAGGCTTGTACAAAAAAAAAAAAACATATTTTTTCAATTTGTTTATTCAGATAGATATTAAATATTGTATATATTTTGTGTTCTGCTTTTCAGCCAGCAGGAAGAGCTCTAGGCTCCTCTACACATGTTTACCAGGCTAAACATAACTGCTGTGCTGAGTCAGGTAACCTCCACCGCCTGCTTGTTAGGACTCCATATAAAGTTTCACTTAGAGTTTAAAGACAAACGGCCTCAACATTTCTCTTTAAAAATTTGCAATGAGAAGCTGACTCCATTATGTGGCATTGTGTTTGTTGTGGTTGGGTGGAACTAGAAATCCTGGCTGGAACATCTTTGTTTTTGGCGATGGATCCCAACAGGATTACCACACCTTCAGCCATTAAAAACTGTAATACCAGTGCTGGGAGGAGTTGACCTCTAACCTCAATGGTATTTGCGCTAAAAAAAAGTTTTATGAGTCCTTTGTATGGACAGACGTTTTCTTTTTGCATTTTTTCATGTCTACTGATGTCTCCTAAGGTCAGGGATGAAGGTGACACTGCATTCACATACTTTTCTAAGGTCTTAGAACTCTTTAAAAGTGGCAAAGTTTGAAAATCAAGTTCACACAGCAGTCCGGATTGTTTATAACCAATGGTATAAACACTGACTTAAAGTGACAGCAGTTAGCATGCGGTTTATGAGTGGTGATTAATCAGGTGGTAAGTAAAATAATAAACGCATCAACAACTTAACTTATAACATAAAAAAACAACAAAACAGTAAATCTTAATAAAAAAAAAAAAGAATTTCAAATTTAACAAAAATAAAACAGTTGGGATTTAAGCAGTAATAATCTTTATAAGCAGTGGAAAGTAGTACCTTGTTTTTCTTAATGAAAGGCCACAACTTGCCACGGGATTTGCCAGGGGTTTTGGGATCAGTCTTTCCATCGGCCCTGGTGTTTGTAAGGCTGGTGTCTGACACAGTGCGTTTTATGGACTGCGTGAAGTCCTCAAAGTCAACATCTCCGGGAGGCTCAAACCCAGATTTGAAGGCTTCTATGACTGTCTGAGAATCCTGAAATAAGGAAAATAAGAGGAGAGTCTATAAACGGTTACTCTGAAAGTATACAAGAGGTGGAAGTGATTGGGTCAGACACTATTAACAGAATGGACTTCATGTGTTAAATAATGAACAATTTCTATTACTCAAACCAACCGAGTGAATCCTCTTATTAATTTTCAGACGTTTGTAGGACAACGAATGGAAAATTCTGATTGGTTGTTATGGGCAATGAGATTTCCTCTACCTTTGGCAGTCTTTAGCCTTGAGTGCAGCTGAATTTTATATACTAGTGCTTTTACATGTGCATGTGGCCAAGCCAAATAGATGTGATCCTGATATCCTTACAACCCAAATTCTATAAGGATAACTGTCAGAACATGGTGCTGTGCGTGTGCAGGCGCAGAATGGCCCTGAGTGAGCTCAGATGTGCCGCAGGTCTCTGCCGATCCTAGAGACCTGCTACACATCTCTGCATGTGCCAGATAATGTGCCAAAGACAAGCAAGGGTTTACCAATATTTCCTGGGTGAATTTCTGCTTTAAGGAAAGTGATAAAATAGCGCTCAACCTGTACGAATACATTATTGGTATTGCCATCTTAAGTTATTAAAATTGATGTAGATGGTTCCTGAGTAGGTGCTTTTTGCACCCCAATCTCCATGGCTTGTGGTGTAGTATACCAAAAAATGTAAATGGTAGCACTACACCACTACCAAAAGGTCCACATATGACTTTATTTCAATAAGGCTAGGTTCACATATGTGCGGGTGGTGTGGCTGCTGATCCGCACGAAAATCCGCGGAACTGCACCACCCGCACAGAGGAATTCTAATGGCACGTCGCCAGCACTGGAAAACGCAATCGTACTGGGAACCGAGGTTCCCGTGCGGGGCTGTGTTTTCAGAAGAAGTGCAGGGACTTCTTCCCTGCGTGACACGGGAGTCCATTCACATGAATGGGCTCTCGGGCCCGCGCCAAACGAAGCCCGCACAGCCGCATATATGTGAACCAGGGGTAAAGCTCGGGGAGGACGGGACAGGGGGACTAGAGTAGTGAAAGGGGTTGATTTTGCTAAAACTGCATGGTGCAAAATCTGGTGCAGCTATGCATAGAAACCAATCAGCTTCCAGGTTTTATTGTCAAAGCTTAACTGAACAAGCTAGCTACCATGCACAGCTGCACCAGATTTTGCACTCTCCAGGTTTAGTAAATCCCCCCCCAAAGTGTTTGGCTGCTAAACAAGCTGCTGACAAGACTTGTGCTTGTAATCATACTGGAAGAGATACCAATAAAGGTCCAATTTAGTTCTAGTCCTTGTATCTTGCCTTCAATTCCAAGCCCGGATTAAAGGAATGTTTTTTGACCACCAAAATGCGTTGGATACTCTTTTGATTGTCTACCTGACCTTTACTGGAATAAAGTCATATCTGGACCTTTTAATAGTGGTGTGGCCTTCAATTTACATTTTTGTAAAAACTGTAAAGAGGGCATTCTACCACTGACCACCACTGTAAGGCGTGGATTCAACCACTGTAAGAGGGCTGTTCTTCCTAGTGACCACCAATGTAAGTGGGGGCATTCTTCCCAGTGCCCACCTATGTAAGGGACATTACTCCTACTGACCCCCGGGTAACTGATTTTAGCAAGGATTCCCTGGTATCTGAAAATTATTTTAAGAGTTCCTCTGGGGTAAAACGGTTGAGAAAGGCTGGCCTAATATTTTGCTTACCACTTCACCTGTTCTGAGCACAGAATATTTTTGACTATGTTCTTCTCCTGGTTAAAACTTAAATTGTGTCTCTGCTGTCCACAAACTGCTCTCCGAGTGGGTTTACACCCATCTATGCTTTTATGCCACTATCTCCACTTTCACTTTTCCACATTTTTGAACATTTCTTGTGCTTCAGGTCATCCTCACTCCTGTCATCTTCCAAGTGGTATGACCCAAAAAAATGTAATTCAATATTACACAAATCACATTTCAGCTGCATGAAGAGTATGTCCATGTATTATCCACATTTACCCAACCAATCCCCCTCGTACCCTAGAATTTTTTATTTTCTTTTACAATGTCCCCATAGTGAAACAGCTTTTTGATATTCACTAAGGAATCATCACCAGATATGTAAATCTTTCAGGGGCAGCTGCTGAGATGTTAGTTTTTATTGACGTAACATCACCAGAAGTAAGGTAGCTCATACAGTAGATAAGTCCGTTTTTTTGTTCAGTCAGTGCGTTGAATGAAAAAAAGAAATGAGCGTGTGGATGGGGGAATCTTCCCCGCTCAGCTATTGTATTCTGACAGTGAAGAGACTTTCCCACAATCAGAATACACTGATCAGCATGACTGGCTATAGCCTGCATAGCTGATCTGAGTGGGGAAAATCAGGTTCTACAGAAGTTGATTAGTAGATTGACTTCTGTACAACCACAGTGCCCCATACATGGACAAAATTCGGTCCCTACTGAACTGTCTGAATTTCGATCCATGCATGGCTGGCTTAAAGTGGTTTTTTAAACCTCATATATGAAATATGAACAAAGCATATCTCTCTATAGTGTCCACATATCTCAATTAGGAGCCCTAAGGCTGGCCATACATTATACAATTGTCTTGAGATTTTTGGTTTAGATTTACCAAAAAACCGTATAATAGGAGGTCATACCTAACAACACTTTCAATTGTATCCAATCAGGCAGGCTCTTGCACTACATAGTTGAAGGTAAATCTAAAGGAAATTGGACAGAAAATTATATAATGTATGGCCAGCCTAAGTGTCATTTCTGTCTCCTGCTCCATTCCTCTGCTATCAGTATGAATCATTTCTGACAAGTTTTCCTAGCGCCAAAAGAAAAATGGCAACTGGGGACAGAGCTCCAGCAGATTGACAGCCTCAGCTCTGGCTCTGTGAGTTGTGTTAACGGTGGTGTGTCCCTTCTCTCCAATCAGCTCTCGAACTCTCCTCACGGAGCTCTGCAGAGTGTAACTTAAGCTCTACGCCCCCTTTTTTCTGAACTCTCTGACCAGCTTTATAAATTCTAGACTTTGAACAGATGTAGTGAAAAGAAGGCTGCAGATAAACAGGTACAATGTATGTAGGAAGATTTGTTTAATCTCTGTGTATCACCTGAAGCCAGTCACTTCACTGGGTATATGTAAAGGTTTACAACTACTTTAAATATCACAACTGATCTTTCCCTTCAGATTGTGGTTGATTTTAGTAAAGCGGTAGAGCATGTTCACTCATCTTATTGGTGAAATCAAGTGAAAATTAACTTTGCAAGGCATACCTAATCAGAATCTCACTTAACCAGCAAAGAAAATAAAAAAATGAACAGGATTTTTGCTTGCACATGACTGGATGATAAAAATCAGCACAACTTCACCTCATTCGCTAAGTTAAAGCGGAGTTCCACCCAAAAGGGGAAGGTCCGCTTTAAAGATTGGTTCCCCGCTCCCCATTAAGGATTGACACCTTTGGGGAGTGGGGGGGGGGGGGGCCACAGGTACCCGAATTTGACAGGTACCCACTCCCACCTGCTGTGGTGATCGCCTAGGCGATTGGAAGCGGAAGTTGTTCTCCTAACCTCCCCAAAGTCTTGTGGAACACGTGTCAGGTCCCAGAAGACGACGGGGCCATTGAGGAAGCTCAGCGCTACTCGCGCATGCGCAGTGGGCACCCGGCTGTGAAGCCGCAAGCTGTCACAGCCAGGTGCCCACACTGAAGATGCCGGCGCCTGGAATACAGGATGGCCGGTGAAACGGGCTGCAGCGGGGGCAGCACGGGATCGTGGGACAAGTGAGTGGCTGTTTTTTTTAAAGTCAGCAGCTATAGTTTTTGTAGCTGCTAACTTTTATTTTTTACAGAGTGAGTGGAACTCCGCTTTAAGTGAATTTTCAATGTGCAAGCAAAGAAAGGATAAAATTTACACTGAAAGTGAGAATACCAGGTCCCTTTAGTACATCAGGGTCAGTGTGTGGACAGGCTCTTGGGAGTAAAGGCAGCGGCACTGCTTTGCTGGGAAATCAATATTTGCACATGTGGAGTGGGACAGAGAGAAAGGAGGGGAAATATAGAGTTCTGTAGTCCAGCAGGCAGGGCAGGCTTGGGATTTCAGTGCTGCAGAGCCACTGTGTTGTCAGCCCAATCCAGAAGTTAGGAGCACACTGGATTTCGGAGATCAACAAGTATTTTTCTGCACTTGATTTGTTTTTAAAGGTATAAAACATGAGGATATGTTTACGTATAAAAGAGAAGTACAGAAGATGGTTGGTTTTATTTTGCTCATATTTAACGAGATTAGTAGTTCAAAGCCTTTGAAATCTGCAGGGAGCCATTGATGTGTTTTGGCTGAATGGCAGCCATATTAACCTCTTCACACTGACAGTACGCAAATATGTGGCCTCTCGGCAGCTGGGCCTTGATGCTGAGCGGCCGCATATTTGCGTACATTCGTAAACAAACGTGCTGAGAGCATGTGCCCTGCACGATCCCAGCACATATGTCGGCGTCCCATGGAAAGGTCCCCATCTCTCCTTGCGATTGGGACCTTTCCGATCATGTGAGTGTTGTGACAGCCAATCATGGCGGTCACATGACCCTACACCCTGCCATCTTGGCGTCAGAAACCCCTTAAAGGGCCAAGAGGCGCGGGCGTGACGGGGTGAAGAAAACAGTGCAAATAATTGTAGCATTAAAGTGTTCACCTTTACCAAGAAGCTGCCTATGCAGATAAGAGGTGTCTGTAGATAAAAACAAACTGTGCAGTTCTGATTAAAGTTGAATAATGCCCTTGCTATAGGTGTATTGTAAGAAAAGTTGAAATTGAAGCGCCACACCACTGTTAAGAGGTCCAGATACAACTTTATTCCATTAAAGGTCAGGGGTATAATTTGAGAAGTAGCCAACGCGTTTCGGGGGTCCAAGTGCCTCCTTCATCAGGGCTTGACTGGCAATAAAGTGAATAGACCAGAAGTGAACTGGACCTACAATGGTATTTATTTCGGTGTGA